CTGCCGTAACTTGGTTTCGCCTGGATGCAATTTGGTCATTATTGTATCTTTCCATGTACCTTACTGTACCACGTCATCTCCTCTGACTTCAAACCCGTTTTTGATGTCGAATATTTTGGTCTGTCTTCCTTTCTATTACCAAGGTGGTCGCCGCCACATGTTCAGCTGTATGACTACCACTATGGATGTGGGCGAAATATTGGAATACTAGCACGAAATAGCTCCCCTGAATCTCGCCTGTTGATCTCTAAGCAGGCGGTAGAATGTTTTAGTTACGAAACACCAGGACTGCTTAATTAACGAGCTTCATGCTGACCAAGTCTGATGGTGCTGTTGCTTCAAAGCCGCAAACCCATTTGGTGATTTCCAGGGCTCCTCGATTATCAATGTTTTGCGAGCACATTGAAGATCGATTTTCAGTGCTCAAGAAAGTCGAAATATCTTTATTTGATCTAAGTCCCACATATAATAATTTACTAATCACTGAAGGTCGTCGAAACAGCGGATACCAATAATGTTGACTGAATGGATGCCGTTTCTGTGTTACCGTAACGGGCCCATAGGTTTATATAGCTTACTTATAACCTAGCTGCTTCTCAGCGAGTGTCGAGGGAGGAGGGTGAATTTCCAAGGCAGATCTTCTTAGTTCAAGATTAGGAAATCGATTCCCATATTGACCAGAACCTACGATATCAATCTGTCTTCCACCTGCAGATGATGCTCGCAATGCCGACAGGTGTGATGATTTGCTTTAACGTACCCAGGGATCAATGAGCAACTCAGCTTCTCACGGAATTTACACAGAGCGCTTCAGAGAGGGTCTGCTTCTCTGAGAAATGCTTGAAATCTCTTCTTGGTCGAAATACTGTACACATGGTACTACTAGCCATCGGAAGTCGACCGACGGTAACAACGTAACTATCCTGATGCTGGTTAGATGTGTATTTCTTTCGCTCCATATTCACAGATCCTGAGACTCCTCAGTTATCCAGCGAATATGTAGTTATCTCAAAAGCAGATCTTTTAGCTCATAAAAAGGCGTAGCAAATGACCCTTTTATGGTCGAAATTTCCCTACTTTTTAGTGATCTTCAAGCTGCTGGATGTCAACGATAGTAGCAGAACCTATTCTACTACCGGCCAAGTGCGATGCCATTGCTCCAACTGCTCCGATATTCGGATGACCTCAGCTCTCAAGCAAGGTTCTAGCGACCATTTCAGAAGTGGGTCTTCTTATTCCAAGGAAAGCTGCAAATTGTTGCTTTTTCGAAATTTCCCATATACCGATTTCATAGCCACCGTAGGTCAGCGTAAATGACAACACGTTTCAGAAGACAGTCAGATTTGGTGTTGCTGCTTCACCGATGCAGTAGATCGGTTGACCTTTCAAATTTTGTCTTATTCGCGTAGCTGATGGAAAGTCGCAAGATTCGATCTTGCCTCTGAGGCGATTCAAACATCGGTCAAAAATAGAAGGAAAGAAAACGGAAAGTCTGTAATGTCGTTTTTCCTTACACTTTAATCATGGTGCTATCATTCCATTTAATCATGGTCCTTCTTTTCATGAATTTAATGATGGAGTATTGATTTCTATTTCCGTGCCTTTAGCCAGAAGTACTTTCATTTATAGGCATAGTCGATAACAGCTGCTTGGCAAGCGTATCGTGTAATCTCCTATTTCCCTCCCACAGGCCAGGACGAAATCCTGTCGACCCTCTTGTCAGCCTTGTGTCAGCTTTTACTTAGCTGTTTTACCTTTTTATTGGGCTGTAATTTAGCTGTAGCGGGGCACTGCACCTTTTCCAACTCTGTGCATCTTCAGTTACTACGTTTGAAGCACAAAATTGCTTGCCGATCGAAATGTCTTATTCTGCCCTAACCGACAGATTTACAGTAACATCATACATAATTACCGTGTGCTTCTGAGATCGAGACAGGCGTTCTCTCAGAATCTGTTTCATCTCAAAACTGGCCATGTCCGAAAAGTATAGCTCAGATCAATATGCATACACATCATAGTTGATTCCACTGCCCGTTTGTTTCGCCCATTCACTGGCGTAGTTTCTTTTTACCGACCTTTGTTAGTTGAAGCTCGTGAGCTGACCATCTACAGGATTTGTGACGGCATACTTGCAACGTTTGTGGTATTCCTTGAGGACCTGGTAGAAACTGTCCACCAGAATAGTCCCAATCGAATGAACAAGAACCTCATGATTTGTCTCCCCAATCTTTTGTCATTCGCAGGCGGATATGCGCCGATGGTAGTTTTTATTTTGAGGTGTTGTATTTCTCCCGTTGCATCTATTATGGTAGTT